CCCGCGCTGCCCGCATTCACTCACTTGGCGGCGAGTCCCTGAAGCCTCCGCCCGGACCGCGTCCCCCCGACGCGGACTCGCACCCACTGAAGTTGGCGGCAGGAGCGGCCGCGCGTGCGCCGCGGTGCCGGGCTCCGGGGGCGCTGAGACCTCCGGCACGGGCTGGGGGAGGGGGGAGCGGCCGCAGGTTGCGGTCTCTCCTTGGCCACCCCAGGTGACCGGCTCCCCGCCGGCCCCCATCTCGCCCCCTCCTCTTGCACAGTCACCCCCTCGAGCGCACTCACCAGCCTGGCGCGCCCTGGACCCGGTCAGCTCTCTCCGCAGTGCCGGGAACTCCTAGATAGAGCGGTGGCCGGTGACACCAGTGGCACCACCAGGGACCGGCAGCGTCGCGGAGGAGCCAGGAGTGGAGGCGCAGGTGTGCAGACGAATGCGGGGCGCCTGGCACCGTCCCCGCCCCCCGTCGCCTGCAGGCTGCCGCGGGGGTGCGCGCAGAGGCGGCCAGGTCTCCCGGGGTCCCCGTAGCGGTGTGATGGGGTGTCAGCGGCCGAGGGCACATGGAGAGGGGCCGTCAGCACTCATCCGTCAGGGCAGGACTCTGGCCCCTGACAGCTGCCTGCCTGAGCCAGGGCCTGGGGGCCAAGCCCCGGGACAGGGGGTGCTGCGGGGAACAGAGCCAGCCTGGGGAGGGCTGCAGCCCAGCCCAGGAGGGGACAGAGCCTAGTCCTGGGGACTGAGCTGGAGCCCGGAGCTGCGCCGCATGGCCCAGGGCATAGACAGTGGAGCAGGAATCCTTTTCTGGCCAGCTCTGCCTGGCCGAGCCTTGCCTCCAGTGCTATTTCCTCTTCTCCAAACAGGAGGCTGAATGGATCTGCACCCCAAACTCTTGCCCTGTCCACTGACCCATGCACTCACTCCCCACTTCCTGGAGGCATTACCACCTCCTCCAGTCCCAGCTCAGACTCCTCACTCTCCTGGCAGGTGCCGCAGGAAGACTGCACTTCCAGGCCCTCCATCTTCCTGTCTGCAGGACTCCTCTCCACTGCTGGAGGACCTGGGGTGGGTGAGAGGTGAGGCCAGGGAAAGGCTTGATTACCCACAGACCCACCGTGACACACCCTCCCCCTAATGTCCTCATGGCCAGAGCTGCTCCCAGCCCCACCCAGGGTCTATCAGCTTCCAC